TGCTGTTGTAGCCGTCCATCTGCGACTCGCGGATCTGGATCTAGCGGCGGGGAGGACAAGTTTTAGCTACGCAACGGGGAGGAGGAGTTGGATCTGGGGGGCCAAGGAGGAGGAGCTGGATCTGGGAGGCGGTGGAGGGCGAGAGCAAGAGCGAGAGCGGCGGGGGGTGGGAGCGGGGGAATGGATAAGGGTACCGAGCGAGCGGGGTGGGTGGGTGCGGGGGTAGTGGGCGTCCAGCTCACGCCCCCAGGAGTTTTTGCTCAGTTTTGGGCCTCTTGGGTAACAAATGGCAATAAATTAGTAGCCCAAGATTTGCTCTTTTTTGCCCGTGGTGTTTAGATCCATTTTACCAAGAGATGAGTTAAAAGTGCTGGATAAAACTTTAGCACAAAGAAATAACAGGGCCTAAGGCCTAAAATAAACGTTGTAGCTTTGGTCCGTAAAGTTACCTAAAATAAACGTTGTAGCTTTTGGACATGTTATGTTTTGGTCGACTTGAGAATCGTGATATATAATAATCGTTGCTGAGAAATGTGGTACACTCTATTACAGAAACTATTTTCACTAATAATCAGTCTGTTCGGTTGGCTGGTTCGTTTCGTTGCTGGTTCGGGTTCGTGAAGAAGTACTGCTGGCTGGTTTGTGTGAGAGAAAAATACTGTTCCGACTAGAAATTTACGATAATTTACGACAAGCCACACCCAAACGAATAGGAAAATGCTTCATGTCTTTTCACCGGCCACAAAAAATACAGGCGTCGCTGTAGAGCAAACCTGTAGATGGGTTTGTAGCCACTGACTACAACCGTAAGTGATCGATTTGCACAGGTCAATTTCCAATGGCGGTTAACTTAGCCTATCGCAATTTGCACAGGTCAATTTCCAATGGTGGTTAGCTAGACTGTCGCAAATCGAAATGATAGGCATTTTCACCGGTGGAAGTGGAAATATACCTATTTCTACTCGCTTAAGTCGAAATAGGTATTTCCACCAGCAGAAAGTGGAAATATATCCATTTCTACTAGCTGCTGTCTTAGTGAACGGCCAATACAAATGTAGCTATAAATATCGCTTTGCTCTCTGAAATGTAACTTCCAACCTGAAATTTTGTTGGAGTTCTTGAAGGATAAAATTTTGCCAATTACAAGAGGGAGGTTTTAACCTTCAGAGTACCTTACCCACCTTCCGTGAGGGAACGACTCGAGATCAAACTCTCCTCACAAGTGATTCTAGGATATCCTTAAGTTTTTCCAGTAAGTTGAAACCAGTCTACTCTATAATTCCAACAGAGAACAAAACAAGGTTAAGCCCGCTAGAGCGACGATATCCTAATGATGATAATTCAATAGAAAAATATTTAATGACATCTTAAGCCAATTGCTTGCTCGATAACGACGTTAGAAATGTTTGTTGGGTTTTCTTATGCACTAGTGTACTTTGTCGGTCAATTCCACGAGCACACAAAATTCTGTTATAGCATTTTACATAGGAGTATTTTTATCCTTGAAGAATCTCTAATGACCAAGATTAGTCAATAAAAGATTTCTTGAATATATCACAAACAATGACCAGGCTCTAATAGGGATTAAAAATAATATGGTAGTGCGACGCTTGAATGACTTCAAATAAAAAGATAAGATAAATGGTGTAGTGATGGGAGGATAGAGACACACGAAGGACTTCAAATAAAAAAAAAGATAAATGGTGTAGTGATGGAGGAGGACAACAAGCGAGTAAAGATTTCTATGGACTCTATTTGAATCAAGGCAACTCCATAATAGATACTAGTAGATAAATGTAAATAACTTCAGGAAACCAATACTTTAAAGTTGTAAGGAAAATGACAACTAGTAAGGGCCATATATGATTCTTGCGATTGTAACTAATAATGAAGTTTGCTATGTACATGGTGTTTTATTCAAATGGACACAAGGATGGCTTGGACAAAGAAGGCAACATGAAGATCAAATGATCAATACCTGAAGGAAGGTCAAGGAGGTCAATTAAAGACCATAGAAGACTTGCATTGGATGAAGTCCATGACACCAAGAGATTGAAACCAAGATGAGAAGACGCGAAGGAATAGAGCTCATTGGGCTCTGCACAGGAGCGCCACAAAACTACGGTGGTATTCATGGTAGAGGGATCTAAGCTTAGGGTCTGGTCAGGAGGACTAGTCTAATCATCGCTATAATCACCGAAAAACTCCAGTGGTATAGAGTTGGTCAGCACCGTAGCTTAGGCTCCAGGCCAACAATTAGGCAATAGTTTTGTAGAAGGTTTCAGCACACCGAAATTCTTTGGTGGTCTACAAGGGGCGGCACTTGAAGAACAAGTGCGGTCCAAGAGTTTTTGCAGAAGGTTCAGAGGGGCATCCAATCCTCTGGTGGTGCATTGGATGAAAGGTTCGACTAGTCTCAAACGGGTAGCTGACGTGACAGGCATTGGATTTCTCCGGTGATCTGATCGGACCTTCCGGTTCTTCCACTTGAGCAAAAAGGGAGTGACCTTCTTCTTTGTCAACCCAATTGGTGTAGGTGTCGAAGAAGCATGTTTTTTGTTTTTGTTTTTCTTCTTTTCTCCCCTTTCACCTTGCACTCATAGGACTTATGCCTTTCTTATGGAAAGTGTAGCACACAACTATTCCTCCCTCATCCAGCTTCTTCACGCCCTTGACAGTGTTATCCTTATGAGGTTAGGCTTGCTCACTCTTGCCTTTCAACATAATCAAGTCCTTGGTGAGGTGATCCACTTCTTCCTTAAGCACCACATTTGTCCATTGCAACTTCATTGGTGCATGAATCAACAACAACATCGTCATCAGATATACGTTGCATAACTTCTTCACCATCGTTGGAGGAGGAGGTGGAAGCTAACCTTGATCATCTTCTTCATAATCTATCATGGTCCTCACTTGAACTTAAGCTTGATGATGATTCTACTTGTTTTGCCCTTCTTCTTCATCTTTTCGTGCTCATCCCAAGCGACAACAATGCTTTGCTTGCTTGATAAAGAAGCTTCTTGATCCATTTTCCTTGACATTTCAAAGGTTGCAACCTTTCCGGTGACAAGTGCGGGAGTCATGGTGCTCAAGTCGTCTATGTTGTGGAGGGTGGTGATGATGGAGGCATACTTGTTGTGTGGTAGCATGGAGATGATCTTCCTCACCACGTCCACCTCGATCACCTTGGTCAAACCTATAGCATTAAGCTCATTGACAGTTAGATTCAAAAGAGAATACATGTCTTTGACAAGCTCATTTGGAAGCATAGTGAAAGCATTATATGTTTGTTTAGTTAAGCATTGTTTTTTGCTCACGACTGTTGTTAGAACTATCATGAAGCTCTTTTAACCAAATTCGATTAGCCTTGGTGAGGGTGAACACTTGATTAAATACACCAACGCTAATTAATTCAAAAAGGCAATTTTTAGAATGAGTGCTAAAATGGATTCCTTTTCATCACTAGAGGTGGGTTTCTTAGGATTCTTTTGGTGTTTCATCCCATCCCTAGTGAGTCTTCAAACACCAAAATCTACTGCTTCAAGGTAGAAAGCCATTCTAGCATGCTAGTAGAAAAAGTTAGTGCTGTCAAAGTGCGAAGGTCTATGAGCAACTATTATTCCCACTCTAAATAGTGTCAAGACTCAATGACGATTAAGACAATGTTAAAATTTGAGATAACTGGCTTTGATATCAGTTGAAGGGATCGTGACACCTAAGAGGGGTGAATTAGTCAGTTTAAAACTAAACTTGGCCTTGAAAGAAACTAGGATGACTAGAGGGGGTGAATAGCCTACTAAAAAGTCTCCTAGAAACCACAATACTTAGGCAAAGTGATTAGTATAAAGGTGGCCTAATAATAACTACTTTGCCTAGCCTATTTCACTGCAGAGCAAACCTCCTAAATAATTCTAGTAGCAAAGCTTATACTACTACTAGAAAACCCAAGACTAGAGGCTGGCAACTAAACTAGTTGAGCTACACAAGAAAGCTACTCTAACAACACTACTCAACTAGAGCTACACAATCAACTATAACTACACAAACTACGAATGTAAATCACGTTTACAGAGAAGTCAAACAATATCAAGTTTGAATAAAATTATATTAATATTTATGATACGCAAGAAGTATCATTAGACAAAGCATAATATATAGTTTTATAATAAGGGAAAATATTTTATACTCCTAGGGAGTAGTTACTCCCATGTGTATATCTCTAGATTTAGAACATATATGGCCCGACAAAGTGTATGTAGACGGAGTATATGATCATACTAAACCATCTAGGGTAATATGTATGTCAAATATGCAATTATACATAGAGTATATGATTATACTTATTTTATATAGTAGTGCAGTGGTATTTTAGTAATATATTAAAAAGTATGCGCTCTTTTGAAAAAAATTTAGCGTACTAAGATTTGAAGTATCTTAAATTGAGTATATAAACATACTCAATCCGATAAATTAGTATGCTCACATACGTAATGTGGTTTATTGAAGATGGGAGTAACTAACTTCCGGGAGTAGCAAAAATACACCCTCTATAATAACTATATTTTAATATATAAATATTCATACTTTTTCTATAAACTTGGTGAAACTTAAGATTCTTTGACTTATTGGAAATCGAGATTTATATTTTTTTTCTAGAGGAGGCAGTAATAAAACACAAGATTTGTCCGAGGTTGGATTCCTTCCCAAGAATGGATCCGGCTGGGATCGCAATGTCTGGCCCAACCCAACCCAACCCAACCCACCCAGGCAAAACCCTATCTCCGCCTAGTCAGGAGTCAGGACTCAGGAGGCGGCACGCGCACGTCGTCTAGCCGTCGATCACGCCCACGCCGAAATCCGCCTCCGTGGCTGCCGGATGAGCAAGCGCCACGCGCACGCCGTGCCTGCCGTCAGCGTCAGCCCGCAGTCCGCAGCCACACTTTCCCTAAACCCTAGTAAAGATACGAAGCGCGAACGCTTGCCTCATCCTCGAATTCGCCATGGCGATGCCCACCACCTCCTCCGCTTCCCCATGCCAGGCACCATCGCCCGCCGGGCTGGGCCTCCCGCTCCTCAGCTCCCCTGGCGCCCGCGCGAGCATCCTCGCCTTCAGCCGCCGCCTCCGCCCCCGTGGCGCCGTCATTTCAGCACCCACTGGTGAGGACGCTACTTCGACCCTCTTCTGGTTCTCTATTGCTTGAGTAGTTGATTGAGTTGACATAAGGGATAGGAAATTAGGAAAATTCTTGTATATTGGTTGCCGCGGGCTAGGCTAGATCAAAATTACAATTCTGCCTTTATAGATTTGTCCTGGCTTAGGTTGACAAATTGCATTTGAATTGTGAGTGTGCGGATCGAAAAATTACATTCTGCAGTGCTGATGATAAATCCAATAGATATTCTTAGTCTGCCATTTGTCTGAAGATGAATTCTCAGAGTGCAGATCGAGAAATCACCCAAATCAGGTTTGCAAAGATTGTGATTGTTTAGATGTTGAACTGCCTGCTGTGGGCACCTCCTGCATGCAGGTTGAATTTTTGAAAAGAGTGGATTGGTTCCTTTTCGTGCTTGATTTTGTCTATCACATTGCTGGCTGTCCTTTTTAGTCAAGATGGCCAAACCCTCATAGGGCTATAACTTGGGAGTTGGGACACTCAGTTTCTAAACTCTAATTCGAATTGACTTTTCCTATTCTTTCTCTTTCCTAATCTACTAGCCAACTTAGTGGCTTCTGTAACCTACTTGGCTACTTGGGCCCAATATGTGCGAGCTGAATAAAGTCCAGAACAGGGGCCTTTGTATTCACGCAAAATTATCATGACGTTGATCAAAACTGTAACCATTACAATAGCTAGTGTTGGTTGTTATGTATTCGCAACCGATGCTATTGTCAGCCCAAGAACTAGATTCATATTATTTTTAATGTATTTTGGTTGTGCAAATAAAAAATACATAAACAATAGGTAATGCTAAAAGAGGAAGATAATATATGTGGTTTTTGACATAATCTTTGGTTTATATCTCTGACAATGTTCATATTAAGATATGTGTTGTCAATTGTTGTTGATTTCTTCTGATGTCATGTCCTTGTATAATGAAAAAAAAGAATGGTTGAACATAATCATGAGATTCATGGCATGTGAGGAAACGAATATGTGGATTTCCACACATCAGGGGCAAACATTGCGCTTGTTCTGTTTTCCTTTTTTTTCCAGAGGCCAAGGCTGGTATGGTGTTTTTTTCTCTCTCGAACATGCAGGGGAGCTGCTTATCATTGTATTAAGAAGAAGAATAAAATGGGTAGATAATCCTTACAAACAACACTCAACACGAGCCATGTTCAAGACCAACCCACACTAGGGATCCAAGGATCCCCCCTTGTTGGAACCCAAGCACAGGTTTGGGGCTGAATTTCTGATTTCATTAGCCTTACCACAAACCATGGAAGTTTGGGGATACATATAGGATAACTTGCTTGCAACTTAAGAAAGCTACAACATATTCCAACTACTAAAGTAGATGCTAAAGTAGAATAAGATAGATGATAAGGGTGCTGACACAGGCACCAACTACTCTAGATAAACACAAGACTTATAGACCAAGTCTATCATTCTCCCCCTAAGCCTTGTGTGGCGCCTTTTGAGGAGCTTGAACCATCCCAATCCTGGCGCGAAGCTCCTGGAACTTGACCCGCCCAAGGGACTTGGTGAGAAGGTCGGCGAGCTGGTCTTGGGTGTTGATGTAGCCGGCCTTGATGCTCCCCTCATCCAAGCAGCTCCTAATGAAGTGGTACTTGATTCGGATAAGCTTGCTTGCGCTCATGGAAGGCGGGGTTCTTCGCCAAGGCCAAGGTGGACTTCTTTGTCCACCCCGAGCTCCACCGCGCCTGCGTCTCTGCCAGAGAGATAGCCCCAACCGAACCAACCAGAGAGCTTGAGTCGAAGCGGTTGTGGCAATGATGTACTCTGCCACCATAATCGGCCAGAGCCACCACTTGTTGCTTGATTGGTCGCCGGTGATCCGACACTTGCCGAGGAAGAACAACGTCCATTGGTGCTCTTGCTTGTGTCGATGTCGCCCGTGAGGTCATTGTCATTGTATGCCGATGAAGTGCTCCGCACCGGGACACCTCGGGTAGTGCAAGCCGTAGTCGGATGTGCCCGCAACATAGCGGAGGATCCTCTTGACGGCCTGCTCGTGCTCCGTCGTCGGTCGTTGCATGAACCGACTGACGTAGCCAACGGTGAACGCCAGGTCCGGCCGCGTGTGGACGAGGTAGCGAAGTCTGCCCACAATGCGCCGGTACCGCATGGCGTCGACCTCCTTCGCCGTGCTGTCGTGGCTCAGCTTCAGCCTCTCCTCCATGGGAGTGGGCTGGGTTGCAGCCGGTGAGCCCGCCCAACTCGACGATGCGCTTGGCGTAGGCGGTCTAACGAAGGGAGACGTCGGAGTTGTCCTGGTGGACCTCGATCCCTAGGTAGAAGGAGAGAAGGCCCAAGTCGCTCATCTGGAAGGTGGCCTTCATCTCTTCCTTGAATGCTTCCACCTCGGCCTCACACCAAGTCGTCAACGTAGACGCCTACCAACAGGGCATTGCCTCTCTTGCCCCACCGGTAGACTGCAGCCTCTTGAGGACTCTGCTGGAACCCCATTTGCTTAAGGGTGGAGTCCAGCTTGGCGTTCCAAGCTCGGGGTGTCTGCCGCAAGCCGTAGAGGGCCTTGCGCAGGCGAAGAACCTTGTTCTCCTTGCCGGGGATGACGAATCCCGGCGGCTGGTAGACGTAGACCTCCTCCTTCAGGTCATCATTGAGGAAGGCGGACTTGACGTCCATGTGGTGCACACGCCAACCCTCCTGGGCCGCCAGCGCGAGGAGGAGATGAACAGACTCCATCTGTGCGACGGGCGCGAAGGCGTCGTCGAAGTTGATTCCCTCCTACTGGACGAACCCGCGCGCCACCAGATGCGCCTTGTGCTTGATCACCGCCCCGGCCTCATCCTTCTTGAGCATGTAGACCCACTTAAGGGTGATGGCGTGGTGGTCGGCAGGAAGATCCGCCAGCTCCCATGTCTGGTTCCACTCGACCGCGTCCATCTCCCCGCGTCTCCCTCAGCCTCAGCGAAGGAGTAGGGCTAGCTGTCCTCGTGCGCTAGGTGCAGCTCCGCCTCGAAGTCGTGCATCGCCAGTCCAGGGACAGGCTGATCATCGAAGATGTTGTCCAAGGTGCGGTAGCGCAGAGGCTCGTTGTCGTGGTAGGCATCGACGCGGTCCTCGGCGTTGGACAGCGGAGTGGCGAACTCCACTGTGCACTGCCCGTCATGGACCGAAGCTGCTGGTGCCGATCTCGAAGGTGTGGGCACCGGTGCAGGAGATTGGGGAGTAGGTGTAGGAGAGCGGGGCGTAGACGGTGGTGCAGGTGGCGGAGGACTTGGTGGTGGTGTAGGCGGTGGACTCGTCGGAGCTGATGGCGAGCCGGGCGCTGAGGTAGACGTGCTCGGTGAAGATGAGCTGCTAGCTCCCTCGGCTCCCTCGAAGTGGACGTAGTCGACGACGAAGTCTCTGAGAGTCAAAGTCGAGCCGTCGTCCACCGCGTTGTCCCAGGCCCAGCCTCGCCCTTCGTCGAACACGACGCCCCGGGAGATGCGGACGCGCTGTGTCACAGGGTCGAGGATGCGGTAGGCCTTGATGCCCTCCGCGTAGCCGATGAAGGCCCCCGGCGTGCTCCGGTCATCGAGCTTGCCGACGTGGTTGAGCTCCTTGGCGAAGGCGAGACAACCGAAGACGCGGAGGTGGCTCACCACTGGCTTGCACCTGTGCCAGGCCTCGTATGGTGTCTTGCCGTCGAGGGCCTTGGTGGGCGAGCGGTTGAGCAGGTGAACGGTGGTCATTACCGCCTCACCCCAGTAGATTGCCGGCATCCCTCTCTGCTTGAGGAGGGCGCGGGCGGTGGCCACCACCGTCTCGTTGCGGCGCTCAACGATGCCGTTCTGCTGCGGGGTGTACGGGGCGTAGAAGTGGCGCTGGATCCCCTCGTCGGTGCAGTACGCTGCGAACTCAGCCGTCGTGAACTCGCTGCCGTTGTTGGTGCGTAGCACCCGAAGCTTGCGGCCGCACTCCTCCGCAGCAGCTTGATGGCGTCCGCGGCTGCCGCCTTGGTGTCGAGCAGGACCGCCCACATGTAGCGGGACACGTCGTCGACGAGAAGCAAGAAGAAGCGCCGGCCTCCAGGTGTGGCCGATGTCACGGGGCCGCAGAGGTCACCGTGCATGAGCTCCAGCTTCTCCTTGGCGCGGAAGCCTGCCTGGCGGGGGAAGGGGAGCCACCGCTGCTTGGTGAGGACGCAGGTGTCGCAGAACTGCTCCACGTGCTCGACTCACGGCATGCCCTGCACCATCTCCTTGTTGCTGAGCTACTTCGGGCCTCGAAGTTGAGGTGCCCAAAGCGCTCGTGCAACCGCCAGGCATCGTCGTCGCGGCGGGCTGCAAGACACACGGGCTGCGCCACCTACACGTGAAGAACGTAGAGGCGGTTGGCGCCTCTGTTCACCTTGGCGAGAAGGCGACGATGGCGATCCCAGATGCGCAGGACCCCGTGCTCGATCTCCACGCGCGAGCCGTTCTCATCCAGTTGGCCCAAGGTGATGATGGAGTTCCTCAGTGCCGGGATGTAGTAGACACCGGTGAGCAGCCGGTGCTTGCCGGTCTTGGCGGTGAAGACGATGGAGCCGACGCCCTTGATCTCCACGGTGGGGACGTCCCCGAACTTGACGGAGCCTCGAACGCCGGAGTCGAGCTCGGAGAAGAACTCCCTCCCGCCGTCCGGTCATGTGGTGGGTGGCGCCGGTGTCGAGGTACCACCTGTTGATCTTGTCGCCGCCGGACCCGTTGCCGAGGAAGACGTGGGCTTGCGGCTCGTCGAGGTGGAGGAGAGCGGCGGCGGCCGACGCTGGAGAGGAGTGCGGCTCGATGCTCCCGTGTACAAAGAACAGAGCTGACTCGTCACCCTCCTGTCCTTGGCCCAGTGGCCGGTCCTCCCGCAGTTCTTGTAGGTGTCGTCGCGGGTAGCCTTGCGCTTGCCATCGGCGCCGTCAGGAGTGCCACCACGCGCCTTGTCCCGCTTGCGCGGCCGACGCTTGCGGCTGCTCGACGAACCCGAAGCCGAAGAACCCGAGGCCTTCCCCTTCTTCCGCTCCCGTTGGCGGG